CTGCTATAAACATTCTTCTACAGGTTTTTGTGTGGACATAAGTTTTTAACTTAACTGGGTAAATGATAAGTGGGGATTGCTAGATCATATGGTAACACTCTGTTTAGCTTTGTAAGAAACTGTCAAACTGTCAGCATATGTGTTCTTAAGAATCAACCAAATTGGGGCATATGGGTGGCTCAGTCGGTTGAGCCACTGACTCTTGGTTTTGGGTCAGGTCATGATCTCAGGGTTGTGAGATCTGCTTGGGATTCTCATTCCCTCTTCCTCTGCTCCTCCTCCCCACTTGATCTCTTTCTCTCTGTCTCTAAAATAATTAATTAAAAAAAAGAACCTAATTAAAAATCTGGAAGGATATACTCTAAAATATTAACAGATTACCTCGGGGGATGAAATGGGGAGAGTTGGGGGGGACTGTCATCTTATTTTATAATATCTGAATTTTTTAAAACAAAATACTATTTTGTAGTAATTTTTTACAAATAAAATTTTTCTCTAAAATACTTTACTTAATACATAGTAATAAAAATTGAAAATGAGGGGTGCCTGGGTGGCTCAGTTGGTTAAAGTATCCGACTCTTGGTTTCAGCTCAAGTCATGATCTCATGGGTCATGAGATTGAACCCCGAGTCAGGTTCTGCGCTCAGGGGGAAGTCGAAGATTCTCTCCCTCTGCCCCTCCCCCCACTGGCTTACGCCCTCTCTCTCTCAAATAAGTAAATCTTTTTTAAAAAATTGAAAATGAGTTAACGTAAATAAAAGAAGACCATTTAAGGCAGTATATTATTAGTTTCATAGCGCTTCCTAGATGTGGAGGATTTTAATATTCTTATTTTTTAAGTAAAGAGGATAATTACCGGGGCACCTGGGTGGCTCAGTCGTTAAGCATCTGCCTTCGGCTCAGGTCATGATCCCAGGGTCCTGGGATTGAGCCCCGCATCTGGCTCCCTGCTCCACGGGAAGCCTGCTTCTCCCTCTCCCACTCCCCGTGCTTGTGTTCCCTCTCTCGCTGTGTCTCTCTCTGTCAAATAAATAAATAAAATCTTTAAAAAAAAAAAAAGGATAATTACCTTACTCCAGTCGTAATTGTCCATTCAACAAATTTATAGAGCATCTACCTGCGGCATAGCTTTTCATAGAATCCTGCCCAGAGCTAAGAAGAGAATACACTTCATTCAGCCTTGGGATGTCAGGCAAGACTTCCTGGAGGAGGTGATATCTGAATTATATTCTAAAGGAGAGATCTGAATTAACTAGGCTAATATGGCGGGGAGAAGGGCAGGGGAAGGAGAATGTACCAGAATGAGGACAATGTTTTCAAACTAGAGACCAAGTCATTTGCTTCTGGTTAATCTGATTAAAATCAGAATTAATTGTTTCATATTGTCAGAGAAGCATATTAGATCTTTTCATGCTCTTGGCACTTGTTTGATAATCTGTATTTGGGAAGTGTGGGCTCATATTTTCTTTTGGTTTCTAGTGACTGGCCGGGTGTATTGCTCTAATGCCTGTTTTGCTTGGAAAACTGGAATAATGAATACCCTGAAGATATTTTGTTGCTGGAGATGTGTCAGCATCTGTCACTGTCACATGAGTTAAACATTGCACTCTTTATCTGAATTTTAGAGCCTTGAATGGTTCAACTGTCACTGTTTGTGAGTGTACATACATGTTACTTTCTTGGGCCATCTATGTCTCTTATACTTAAATCTTGCTTCCCATATGTAAACTTCCACTATATGTCCATAGATTTTTTTTTCTGTTTTCTGTAGGACTCCAGGGAAAAATTTAAAAATTATCACTTAGAGAAATGCAGAAAGAGGGAAAAACCAGGAAATGTATTGATATGAAGGGATGAAAGTGGATTGTGTTTGCTAGATTATAATGCAGAAGCCTTAAAAAAAGAATTAAAGTCTTGTCAGTTGATGTTTTTCTGAATCCTGTAAGTTGGATTTTAAACATTTTGGAAGGCTACTGTTATTTGTCTCTTTTTCCAGATTATTTAATAATATTTTTCCTTGGATCAAATTCAACTCTCAAATTAAGACCTTAAATATGAAAGAATTCACAATTTCTTATATTGAAAATCATCATAGGAAATAGTTTAATGTAAAATATGATTAGCACATTACCCTATTTTCAATAAAAGTCACCCCTGAAGTCTATTAAATATTATGAAATTAATACTTTTGTCTGGTACCTGTTGCATTTAAAAAAGGAAAACAGAATTCTCATCTATTGAAAGGAGCAGTGAAACCTTGAGATCAGAATACAGTTACTGGGTTCTAACTCCATCTCTTGCCCCTGGCCAGCAGAACAGCCCTGGGCATGTCCCCTAACTTGACCAGCTAAGTCTTTGTGTTTAAATAAATAGAATTAAGTAACGAGTATGAGAGTTCCTCCAAACTGTAAAGCAACTACAAATATAATTTGCATCATTATCATGGAATTTGTCTTCCAGTACACATTTTATAACCCACTGAACAAGACTCCCAAGAGGTCAATTATTACTGCTTATTTTATAACTTTTGGCCATGTTTTCTGTACCAGAATCTCACTGGCATGTGAAATGTTGAGCAGTGGACAGCCTAAATCTGTGTGCACATAATTTTCCATAGCCCACGGGAGGACTGAAATGCTGAAAGATCTTAGGAACTGGGGCAAGACCTAAGGCCAACAGATAATTCTTTTGTCCAAGGGCAAGAAAGAGGAGAGGGTAGTTCTGGTGTGAGGCTTTTGGCTGACCTGTTCCATGTCTCTAAATGTGTTTGTGTTTGGGTGAGGGATAATTATATTGGGGAGGAGAGTTAAAATGTCTGTTCTCTTCCCCAGGCCCCTCCTTATGCTAATTTACCATGATAGGTGAGGAAAATGTGAACTTCTTATCACAACATATTTGAGACTTCTGTAGAAAATCCCTTTTTTTTTTCTTCTTCCTGTTTGTGATTTTCCTTCTGTATCCCTCTCCCGCATTCTATTCTTTTTCTTACCTTCTTTATGTCATTTCTAAAAGTATTCCTTTGAAGGCTGTCTTCCCTACATTCTTGGTCATTCTTCTATTTTCCCTTTTTCCCTCTTGTAACATTACCTATTTAATCCAGCAAATTGGTATAATTTTACTCTCCTGTTTTATCATACGCTCCTTATTTTTTATGCCAATTATGAAAGTGTAAACTTTGAAGAGTAAATGAAAGACATCGTAAAGTATTAAATTGCATTTCTACATATGATGCCACTGGATGTAGTGAAAATGAGCATTTATATTAGCAATGACAACATAATAGTACAATGCTTTTAGACTGTTTTGGTAGTATGTGTTGATGGCCTTAAATGCTCATATTCATACCCTTAGACCTAGTTAATTTCAAACCTTAGAATCCATTTGAAAGAAATAATCTTAAATAATGAAAAGACTATGTGTAGCCAGGCGTGCCTTGGTGGCTCAGTTGGTTAAGCGACTGCCTTCAGCTCAGGTCATGATCTCAGGGTCCTGGGATCGAGCCCCGCATCGGGCTCCCTGCTCCGCGGGAAGCCTGCTTCTCCCTCTGACCCTCCCCCTGCTTGTGTTCCCTCTCTCGCTGTCTCTCTCTCTCTCTGTCTCTCTGTCAATTAAATAAATAAATAAAATCTTAAAAAAAAAAAAAAAAAAGACTATGTGTAGCCAAACAATGAATCATGGAACACTACATCAAAAACTAATGATGTAATGTATGGTGATTAACATAACAATAAAACATTTTTGAAAAAGGAAAAAAGACTATGTGTAGCATTCTTAATGTCTAACAATAAGGGAGAATGATTTTGTGGACTATTATGTAGCCATTTAAAATTATGTATAACATGGAAATTCATAATTTTAAAAACAATTAAAATTTGGACCTACAAGAGAACTTAGCGAATATAGATTTCACATTCAAGGTTGGTGAGAATATAAATTCACACAGTTTTGTTAAAGGGCACTATGGCAATATCTTCATTTAAAATTCACATACTTTTGACCTAACAAATAGACTTGTAAGTTGCCTTACTGATAAACTCTGGTATGTGCCAAAATATTTGCAGTTATAATCATTGCAGCACTAATTATAATAAGTCTCTCCAGGGGCTCCTGGGTGGTGCAGTCGGTTAAGTGTCCAATTCTTGGTTTCTGCTCAGGTCGTGTACTCATGGGTCATGGGATCCAGCCCCTTCGTGGGCTCCCTGCTCAGCTGGGAGTCTGCTTGAGGAGTCTCTCCCTCTACCCCTCCCCCTACTTGGATGTGTGTGGTGCTCGTGCACACTCTCTCAAATAAATAAATCTCTTTTAAAAATCAGTCTGATTTTTTGGTAAGTAGTGAATAGTTTCTTTTTTAGGAATTTATCTGAAGGAAATAAGGCTGTGGATAGATATAAAGCTAAGATATATTTATCCCTGTATTTATAACTGCAGAATAATATTAAAACCCTCCATGTTCAACAATACCAGATTAGTGAAATACAGTCTCCCATCAATAGAAAATTATGCAGCATTATAAATAACATTGTAGAAGACTATGTATGATGTCATTATCTTCTACCACACATACACATGTAAGCACTGACACATCTACACATGGAAAAAAAGAAACACATGCTCTATTTAACTTTTTTCCTCTGGGTAGTAAGATACAGATGACTTGTTTTTCTAAATTTTCCCTTAATGATATACTATTATATTTATAAAATACATAAAAACCATGAGTATTTTTTAATAAGAATATTAACTCTAGTATAAAGAAAAGACTTAGCGGAAGTATAACAAAAATTGTAAATAATAGCTAGTTTTGAGTGGTGGAATGAAAGGTAACTGTGTGTGTGTGTGTGTGTCTTTTCTATATTTTTCTTTAATGAGAAAATGAATATATTCATTTTATTGGAAATAAAGTTCTGTTAAAAGCATGGTTGATAAGCAGCTAATTAACTTAGTGCCAAATAATTTTTATATAACTAACAAACTTAAAAACATTTTTATTTTCATTTTAGGCTAGAAATATTCATACAGGAGAGTTGGCTGCAGTAAAAATTATCAAATTGGAGCCTGGTATGTATTAAAACTCTCAAGATAATTTTTTAATACTTCTCTTGTGTAGTTCATAAATATAGAACTTAAGCATTTTCCATATTTTTTCCTTATTTCCCTTCTTCCAAAAAGAAATCTTTGTTGTCAGGGCAGTAAGATATCCAATATGGTTATAATTAAATTCCACTGGAGGTTGTTAGTTAAAGATGAGTTTGGTGTGATAGTTTTGTTGCGAAATAAAATTTGAAATGTGCACATTCAAAAATTGGAAGGCACATTGACGGTGTTAAAGTAATTTTCTTTTAAGGTTATAGTGAAATATTTGAACTTCTTTTATGAGAATTTAATTAGGAAAGTATTCATTGATGGGGTGAGATATTTGGTAATATTTGGGATAATGGTATTTTATATGTCAGATGTAACCTGGCTGTTAGGTTTAATAATTCTGGTCTTAGCCTAGGGCCTTTTTTTTTTTCCTAAACACTTCTTTGTAACAGAAAGGTGTTTGTTTTAAAACAGGGGTGCGTGGCTGGCTCAGTCAGTAGAGCATGCAAGTCTTGATCTTGGGGTATAAGTTTGAGCCCCATGTTGGGTGTAGAGATAACTTAAAAAAAATACTGAGAAATTTGCTTTGAAAAAAAAAACAACTGTGTAAAACCTGAAACTATTTTGTTATTTCAATAACCTAAGAGTTTTCTAATGAGAGTAGTAGTAGCTTTTTCTCTCCAGTTTTTTATTGTGGTAAAATATATATAACAGAAAATTTACCAACAAAACCATTTTTTTTTAAGATTTTATTTATTTATTTGACAGAGAGAAACACAGCAAGAGAGGGAACACAAGCAGGGGGAGTGGGAGAGGGAGAAGCAGGCTTCCTGCCGAGCAGGGAGCCTGATGTGGGGCTCGATCCCAGGACTCTGGGATCATGACCTGAGCCGAAGGCAGACGCTTAACGACTGAGCCACCCAGGTGCCCCTGAAACCATTTTTAAGTGCATAGTTCAGTTGAATAAAATACATTGATAATGTTGTGCTACCATCACCACCATCCATCTTCCCCGGACTCTTCATCTTGTAAAACTTAAACTCTATACCCATTATATAGTAACTTCCCATTCTGGTCTTCCTCCTAGCCCTTGGCAACCACCATTTTACTTTTTGTCTCTGTGATTTTCACTACTCTGGGTACTTGATTTAAGTGGAATCATATAGTATTTGTCTTTTTGTGACTGGCTGGCTTATTTCACTTAGCATAATGTCTTCAAGTCTCATCCAGTTGTCACATATGTCTGAATTTCGTTCCTTTTCAAGACCAAATAACATTCCCTTGAATGAATAGATCACATTTTATTTATCCATTCATATGTTGATGGGCACTTGGGTTGCTTCCACATTTTAGCTATCGTGAATAATACTGCTATATGAGGATGAACATACAAATATTTCTTCCAGACCTACTTTTATTCTTTTATATACCCAGAAGTAGAATTGCTGGATCATATAGTAATTCTATTTTTAATTTTTTAGGAACCACCATACTGTTTTCTGCAGTGGCTGTACAATTTTGCATTCCTACCAATAGTGTTCAAGCGTTCCAATTTCTCCACATCCTCATCAACACGTATTATTTTTCTGTTTTGTTTTGTTTTGTTATCGCAGCCATCCTAATGGATGTGAGGGGGTATCTCATTGTAGCTTTTGTTTGCATTTCTGTAGTGATTAGTGATGTTGAGCATCTTTTCATGTGCTTATTTGTCTATCATTTTTGGAGAATTGTCTGTTTAAGTCCTTTGCTCATTTTTTTTTTTAAAGATTTTATTTATTTAATTGACAGAGAGAGACAGCGAGAGAGGGAACACAAGCAGGGGGAGTGGGAGAGGGAGAAGCAGGCTTCCTGCCTAGCAGGGAGCCCGATGCGGGGCTCGATCCCGGGACGGGATCATGACCTGAGCCCAAGGCAGTCCCTTAACCAACTGAGCCACCCAGGCGCCCCCCTTTGCTCATTTTTTAATTGGGTTGTTTGTTTCTTTGTTGTTGAGTTTTTGGAGCTCTTTGTTATAATCTGGATATTAATCCCATATCAGATATATGATTTGCAAATATTTTCTCCCATTCCATGGGCTTTTTACTGTATTGGTATTGTCTTTTGGTGCATAAAATTTTAAAATTTTCATGAGGTCCAGCTTGCCTATTTTTTCTTTTGTTGCCTGTGCCTTTAGTACCATACTCAAGAAATCATTGACAAATCTAGTGTCAACGAGCTTTGCTTTATTGTAAGAGTTTTACAGTTTTACGTCTTACAAAGTCTGTGATCATCTTGAGTTAATTTTTGTATATGGTGTTGGGTGAGGGTCCGACTTTGTTTTTTTGCTAGTGGATATCCATTTTCCCAGCACCATTTGTTGAAAAGATGGTCCTTTCCCCATTGAATAATCTTAGCAGCCTTGTCAGAAATCTTTTTGGTTGAAGGTCAAAAAATCTTTGACCATATATGTAAGGGCTTACTTCTGGATTCTCTATTCTATTCTGCTGGTCCTTATGTCTGTCTGTATGCCAGTATCACACTACTTTGAGTACCATAGCTTTGTAGTAAGTTTTGAAATCAGGAAGTGTGAATCATCTAATTTTGATCTTCTTTTTCAAGATTAGTTTTGGCTATCCACAGCCCCTTGAGATTTTATATAAATTTTAGGATAAATTTGTCTGTTTCTGCAAAATAATGTTGTTGGAAAAAGGAGTGGTAATTTTTGACCAGGTAGGTGAATATTTGGTGATTGTTCATTGCTGCTTCATAAACTTAGACATGTAGAATAATTGTGTGACTGTAATTATGCCAAACAATTTCTTAATTTGAGCATTAAAAATGTTTCTGCATTTCAGATACAATATTTTCATCATTATGTATATGATTCATTAAAGAGAGATTACTGAGGGTAGCTTATGCTGCAACACTTTAAAAATAAGCTTCCATATAAGACACGGTATCCTTTTTGTCTCTGGGTATTAGAAATTGTTATAATACTCTTAGAGTTCTCCCCTTCTACACTGTTGGTGGGAATGCAGGCTGGTGCAGCCACTCTGGAAAACAGTATGGAGGGTCTTCAAAAAGTTGAAAATAGCTACCATACGACCCAGCAATTCCACTACTGGGTTTTTACCCCAAAGATACAAATGTAGGGATCTGAAGGGGTACGTGCACCCCGATGTTTACAGCAGCAATGTCCACAATAGCCAAACTGTGGAAAGAGCCAAGATGTCCATTGACAGATGAATTGGTAAAGAAGATGTGGTATTTATATATAATGGAATATTATGCAGCCATCAAAAGGAATGAAATCTTGCCATTTGCAATGACGTGGATGGAAATGGAGGGTATTATGCTGAGCGAAATAAGTCAGTCAGAGAAAGACATGTATCATATGATCTCACTGATATGAGGAATTCTTAATCTCAGGAAACAAACTGAGGGTTGCTGGAGTGGTGGGGGGTGGGAGGGATGGGGTGGCTGGGTGATAGACATTGGGGAGGATATGTGCTATGGTGAGCACTGTGAACTGTGCAAGACTGTTGAATCACAGACCTGTACCTCTGAAACAAATCATACATTATATGTTAAAAAAAGAAGATAGTAGGAAGGGAAAAATGAAGTGGGGGGGGAATTCAGAGGGGGAGATGAACCATGAGAGACTATGGACTCTGAGAAACAAACTGAGGGTTCTAGAGAGGAGGGGGGAGGGGGATGGGTTAGCCTGGTGATAGGTATTAAAGAGGGCATGTACTGAATGGAGCACTGGGTGTTATACGCAAACAATGAATCATGGAACACTACATCAGAAACTAATGATGTAGGGGTGCCTGGGTGGCTCAGTCGTTAAGCAGCTGCCTTCGGCTCAGGTCATGATCCCAGGATCCTGGGATCGAGCCCTGCATCGGGCTCCCTGCTCCGTGGGAAGCCTGCTTCTCCCTCTCCCACTCCCCCTGCTTGTGTTCCTGCTCTCGCTGTCTCTCTCTCTGTCAAATAAATTAAAAAATCTTTAAAAAAAACAACAACTAATGATGTAATGTATGGTGATTAATATAACATAACAAAAAAAACAAAAAAAAAGAAATGAAGGGGATTAAGAGTACACTTATTGTGATGAGCACTGAGAAATGTATAGAATTGCTGAATCATGTTGTACACCTGAAACTAATATTACACTGTTTGCCAATTATGCTTGAATAAAAAAAAAATATGGATTACAAAAAAAATACTCTTAAGTTCTATTTAGTAAGTATAGAGTGATCCCCAATGATGTCACTAACACAAATAGAAGAGAATATAACACAACTATGCAAGCATTTGCCTCTTCTGGAGGAGTCGTGAGCAGATATTCAAGTTATGTTCAAGGGATAGTTAGAGTCCAAATAATGAATGGGCTGCATTCTCAGAGGGAAGAAAGTTATTTATCCCTTCTCTGCCCTCAGTGAGTGCACTGGGCTTGCTTTAGCATAGTTTCACTTATTTGAGTTGAATGTATTTTTAAAAATCTTACTGTACTGACTTCTCATTAAGTCATAAAAGAGAAACATATATCATCCTATGACGTTATTATTTAATACATAAAGATTAATTGTGGGGACCATTAAGATTGAAAGGTTGGAATTTTTTTGTGCTTTGTTGACCTTATGTCAGAGTTCCTTAATATGTAAGATTGACTAATGTTTAAATTCTCCCCCCAAAAAGAATAATATAGAAGTTCAATAAATGCTTGATAATGTGATTTTAGTATTTAATCATTTTTATAATGTTATTTGCCTATACTTATATTTTGCCCAATTCTACCAAATTGTCTTTTATTATCGATTTTTAGATGCCATTTGCACTTTGAGAATAGTGGCTCTTCGTGTTTTTCAAGTTTTCCCCAGTTTTTCTCTCTTCGTACTCTGCTTGTCATCCTTTTCTGTGTGAAAGTGATTTCTTTCTTCTTAGATAAATTTTCAGTGTTCCTTTCACTATTCTCCTTTTCCTCAGTAGGCCTT